TTTTGGACACTACATCTTTTCATAAATATAAGTGATAGGACCTGGGGACCGTATAAAAATTTAATTTTAATAACTTTTTTCTAAATGGGTTTTTGGTTCGAAAAGCACGTAAAAACATTCTTTGCCTTTAAAAAACATTTTTAAAATTGGAAGTACATATCTAAACCGAACGGTTCGGGAATTAGCTATTGGGTCATATTAAGGCTGGACACCCTGTATATATATACATACTTTTTTGCAATATCCTTTAACACGTAATTTTTTTAACATGAACAAATATTTCAGTCCCTTCAATTTCGTGTAAAACGATTTTCACTGTATTTTATTGTTCTTCACGTCATTGTTTCTGCTTTTATTGGTGAAATTTTAAAAAAAAATCTCGGTGGAAAATGTAAGAGGAAATTAATGAGAAATTTTTCAGTTTCTTATGACTATGCTTGGGAAACAATGCATACAGCCTTGAATACTTTACTAAGTATAACAGATCAAAGTGAAAATATTGATGAGGAAACAATGCGCAATTGTGTGGTTACCCAAAGATAATAATTTAACCTGGCATTTAATATTAAATAGAGATGAAGTAAAACAGAGGTTCCGGAACTTTTTGTTTAATAGACCCTTTGACATTTTTTTTTTTTTTTTTTTTTGGTTTTGGGTGGATCCCTGCTTACCTAATTTTGAATTTTTGCGAATTTATCAAAGATGTCTTTTTGACCGTTTGTGTTGATCTACTTAGTTTGAAAGGTTTAAATTTCTAACTGTTGGGAAGTATAGTGTTTGAAACTTAAGAAACACATGTTAATTAAATTAAAATTTAACTAATACATAAGATAACTGATCAACAAACAAATGTTTATAATAGGAGGGATGAATCTGGTGCTTCAACAACAAAATTTCAACATTTGGCGTCAATCTTGTCAGGTTTAATCCTAAATCTTCTTGGTTAGTAGAGCCCAGTCTTTTCTTTCTTTCTTTCTTTTTTTGGAAATTGGAAATAACGCTGAAACTCTTTCTCACTAGGAAAAGCAATTAAAACACACTTTCTCACAATACTACATAATTCAGGATAAATAACAGGTATGTCTTTTTAAAGCCAAAATTGCTAACACCCGTTTTTAAACTTTAAAATCTCCGTTACTGTGCCTATTCCGATCAATTTTCTCTTGTAATATGACATTTTTTCTTCAATGTCACCATATGATTTCATTGCCTACTGTGCTAATTACCATAGATCAAAATCTGAATAGGGGCATTTAAATGCTGAATGTAGGTTGAAACATCATTTTCCTTGCAGATGTTTTTGGCCATTCGAGAAACTGGGGCCATTTGCGACGTCCAATATTGTACTCCTTTAGCTTAATTCTGTCAAGAAATTCTGAAATGATGGTCCTTGTTTTAATAAAATGTATGCTGTCATCTTGTAACTGTAAATTATATAACCTCATTAAATTTAGTAAATAAATCTGATTTCCATTTGATCAAATTTTCTTTTAAAATTAAAGTCACGATCTGGTTTAATGATAATCACTATTGTAGACCTCCATTTACACTTCATGAACCCCCAAATTATTTTTCGCTGACGTGGACCCCTTGCAGGTTGTCAGAGGCCGCTGGGGGTCGATATAGACCCCTTTAGGAATTATTGTAGAAGTACAATGAATTATCGGGACTGTGAAAAGGGTAACAATTTTCAGTAGAAGAAGAGGACCTAGTACTGGAGTCCAACTTATGCGCTAACACCCATCGGAGTTCCTCTTGATTATTTAAGACACTAAGAAGGAAATAACTGTATAAAAAGATTAAATCTAAGAAATATGTACAAAGCACCATTGGTTAAAAGCTATTGGGGATTTTTGTAGTATTTTAAACAATAGCAAATTAAAAACACAGTAATAAATAAAGTATTTTTTTTTTGTGAATAAAGCTCTTACTCTTTGAATTTTTTATATGTATTAAATAGCTGCGGTTTTTTTTCAATCCGCACTTTTCCATTTTTTATTCTTTCTACATAATCGAGGATCTAATGTATGTTGAAACTTGGGAATTCTAATCTGATAAATGATTTCTCTTATCATATTTCGATACCAAAAAAAAAAAAAAAAATACGATTTATGCTTTGGGAATCTTTGACCTCGAATAATTTTCTATTAATAACGAAATTGTTTCCAGGATATTGAAAAATAAAAATAAAGATAAGAAAAATGTATTCGTTAATTAATGGAATTTTTATTTCGTATCTCTAATGAAAAGCAGTTTACAATAATGACACGAAAATTAAACTTGTTTTGAAACAGTTTTAAAACATAATAATGAAAATTCAAGAGAACTCTTGTAATTTTTAAAAAATATATATATAACTCATTATTTTGTTAAAAAGAGAAACAGGGCATAATATATTTAACATTCCCATTAAATTCATCAAGTATTGTTCTCATCTTATTTTTAAATTTAATATTTGCTTTTAAGTGGATGCTTTGTTTTTATATTCTTTAATGAGTGACTTTAATGAGTTTTCTTTAAATTGAGCATTACGATGTCTTCTATTGTTCGGCTTTCTTTGTGAATTATTAATACTATTAATAACAATAATAAGTTTAAATAATTCTTTATGAAAAGAATATATTGCGTGCACAAAAATACGTCAGATTCTTATTAAGTTCTTTCTCTTATTTGAATACTGAATAGTTCTGTCATCCACAGAAAATAAAGAATGTTTTAGCCTACTTCATGTCTTATGGTAAAGTATTATGATACTTAACGTTATGTATTTTCTTAGTGATTATTAAAGCTTGTGAATACAAAAAGTGTTTGACAGTTTCGTATTCTGTCAATGATATTTCTTTGTCAGTACAAGCTCTGTTTATAAAGCAACATGTTAAAAAAAGATATTCATTCACAATTTAAGGCAAATCTATTGTTTACCGCCTTCAAGGGACTCTCCATTGATACTCACTCATTCTTATTCACCACTAATCAAAAACGTTTTCAGAGTTCATCTTCTGATAATTGTTTTAACAGCTGCGGTATTTTCTTCTAAACAGCTGCCAATGACTGGTAAGGGTTTGTTTTAGCATTAATTTTATATTGGAGAAAAGGAAAAAAAGGTCTCGCAGAGAACTAAATTGGGTAACAAAGGGGATGTTTAAATCTGTTTTTCAATCAAAAATGGTAACACGCTGTGTGTAAATGAGCATTGTCTTATGGTAGAACCATTTTGTAACAAACTGTTTTAGATGTTGATATCATCCAGCAAAACGTTCCGTGCGAAGTGTTTGTTAATGTTGATGATTCCATATATCAACCAGAAACTCAGTCGATGGTCTGTTCGAAGAGTCCGGCAAATTTTTTCCTATCTTCATCGGTTCTCGAAGTTGCCAGAACGTTAGTCGTCTTTCTCACGACCTTCCGTGGACTTAAATGTCTCTTAAGCACATGCATATACGCCACATACCGACGCACAACGCTCACATTTAACACAAAAAATAAGATTGAAATGTATTGGTGCTCGGAATTATATGCCAGGTTTAAAAATGATCTATTTAAAAATAAAAGAAAAAACGGGTGTGAAAAAAAATTAAATTCCTACATAGATTGAAATACTGTTTAGTTAAAAGAAATGGCATGCCTTATGAACTTTCATTATTGAATAACATGAACTTCCGTCCCATCGCATTCTGTTTCATTTTTTCACCACCACTGCTACTCTGATCTTCGAATAAATAATCATCCTCCATTTCATCTAGATAAGGGGTACTCGACCTTTTTTTCTGCTGGGCCGCATATAGATGTCAGTTATTTCACGCAGGCCGCAAACATTAGTCACGCGGGTCGCATCATGCAGATAAAGAGGGGGGGGGGCGTTAATGTGGAAAACTGATCCAAAATATTTTAATTCTTGGTTTGCTTTTTTTAATTACAATTTTTATATATATATTTAATTTCTGTCACTAACACTAAATTAGAAGCTTTTAATAAACACTCCTTCACAATGTCTGCATCAGTAAACAGTTTCATATGATTACCAATAATATAACAAAATTCATAATATGTCTTTGTTACAGCTGTGACATTACCACTGACAAAACACTTTGTTGCTGTTGCAAAGATTATTCAAGAAATCCTATTTATCACCTCTTGAAAGAGATCTTCGAGGAAAAGTGTCATCGAATGATTCCTGTTTATTGGTATTTTTGAAATACAGCACTTTCGTGACAAATCAAACATTTACTGATCCATGTTTGTTTTTCACCACAAAATTGTCAACCTCCCAATCGTCTTGAAACGATATATTTTATTTTAATATTTTTCGCTTGTAAGATATGAAAGATAGTTAAAAATTAGTTCCACCCATAAAATGGTCGTTACTCCACTGTTGTCTGTTATCACTAACCGTAACCGTTTTAAATAAAAAAAAGAATATCGATTCGCACTCGTACGACATCGACAGCAAAAAGCAAAATTTATATATTTGATTTTTTGACACCAAATTTTTAATATATTGTTCTCAAATAAGCGAATTTTTCAAAGCAATCTACATTGACCGGGCCAGCTGGTTGAGTATCGCTGATCTAGAATGTCCAATATACTACATGACAGGTTTAATTTCATTCCAAGCTATTGTTATCCATTCACACGCTGCCTCTAAACTTCAAAAGATGAGAGCATTGCACGTGCACTCTTCAGATTTCTTTGTAAACAAGTCATACAAAAAAATGTTTTTTAAATCAATTCCTACTTAGGTCAACAAAGAAAAATTTTATTTCAGTTACTTTTTATTAAATAATTACAATTAATATAAATATGTAAATACGTAAGACAGACTCAAACTATTGTGTCAAAATAGAAATCGATTCTCCATGCTATTTTCCATTTTTTTTTTTTTTCAATATATAGTGTTAGACTATTATTTTTGTTTGTTACTATTTATTTATTCGTTAAATTTAATTATTCTAATAAAATAGTACAGTAAAAAGGAAATCACATTCTCAGAAATTAGGCTATGGAAGTGGGATGCGAGCCCATGACCTTTGGATTAGAAGTCCAACGCGCTATCCATTGCGCTACAGGGACACAGCCAGTGCCCTTTTATCCATTGGATGCTTGTGGCGGGTGCCCAGGGCCCGGAAAAGCTGGACTTAATCATATTTTCTGGTTATAAATTTCGATCCTCCCGTGCCAAGGGGGCCTGTAGATCTTCAGCGCCCAGAGCCCGAAATGAGCTGAAGTCGGCACTGGACACATCGGGCGATTTTCTTTTCTATATATGCTGTTGGACTATTATTTTTGTTTGTTGCTATTTATTCATGTTTTAATTTAATTAATGAATTAATATTGAAAAAAAAACTGTATTAATATCCAGTGTCATTCACTACAAGTTTAAAAAAATTCATCTGTAATTAAATAGAAAGTAGTTTATATATTAACGATTGAAAATTTGGAACTATATATATGTGAAAATCTAACCGAAATCTTCCAAAAAAATTAGGTACTTCAGATAGCGGGGTTTTTATTAATGTGGTATCTAGGGGTTTTTTACGATATATTGATTAACTTTGAAAAGATAGATGACACAATTTAAAGAAAGAAACTTGTTGAAAACTGAATAATTTATTATGAATTTTAGGGGAGCATTTACAGGGGGGATATTTACAGAATGGAAATTAGACAGGCATTTAAAGAATAGAGGAATATTAGATTAATCCCTCTGGAAGGACGGTAGAGATTACATAAAATTCATTATGCGGTGCTATTGTGACTTACCACCTGGCGCGGGTGAACGGACGCTGATGCGCGAAAAACGCTGCTTCACTATCGGGTGTTTGTGGGCCTCTGCTGAAAAAGGTTGATGTCGGCGTTTTAGTAAGCACGCTAGATGGCGTTGCTGCAGAATACTGTTTTGATTAAATTGCCGTCCTCTGCAAGGAGATATGATCTAACCTTTTACACATGGGATATCTTACACACACACACACACACACACATATATATATATAGTCAAGAGAAAAATGAAATGTAAGCATATTTTATCAGGATTGATGGAACTTCGAGGATCCTATAATGATTAGGTTTGGTTGAAACATCAGAAACGTCTAAAACCATCCCCCCCTCCCTCGTGCTCTCCTTTGTCTAAAATTGTAAAACAAAGTTGGAGAGTAAATAAATAAGGCTCAGTAAATAAAGGCCATATATTTCAATTATACTGGCAATATTAAAAAATAATAATTATGAGAACAAATTTAATTCGCTGAGTTGTGAAAAGTACCGTAAAATCCGGTGTACAACGCGCACCAACACTTTCAAGCTGCATTTTTTAATTTTAAGGTACATTCGACGTATAACGCGCACTACCTTTTTTTACGAAGAAACCTGAAATATATAAGTGCGACCTCTTACAATTTGAAGTCATTCTGTTAAGGTGTATTAGCCCAAGATTTTGAAGAAATAGTATACTCCTAGAACTACATACCCCCCTCCCTCTCTCTCTTAAGTTCATAAAGAATGTAATTTCTTTTTTAAAAAGACAGTATTTCGATTCATATAGAAGCCTAATTTTTTTACGTTCATCTCTCTTATGATTTTTAAAGCAATCAGTTTGGTACCCAGTGTATGACGCGCACTCATAAATTTTGTTCCTATTTTTTGTGTTAAAAGTGCGCGTTCTACGCTGCATTTTACGGTAAGCATATTTCTGGAATTTCAAAACTGCGCAAGTGAAGGAACCAGGGGCGTAGCTACCGCCGTATCAATGATATGGGGCCCCCAATATGTGCAACTACAGTCCAACTAACAGGGTTCTCATATCTAAAAAGGGCCCCCAGAGGAATTTTGATACCGGGCCCCCTCAGAACTAGCTACTCCAGTGGAAGGAACTAATATTGAAAATGCCGAAATTACAAGAAAGGTGCTAAAATAAAATTTAAAAAAAGAATTTAATTGTAATTTAAAACAGAGGTTGCCAAAGAGATGGTCCAAGAGAAAATTTCGCTAGCCCTCAGAAAAATGTGGAATATATTTACTTATCACGTTAAGTTGTATGTCTTAAGATGTATCGATTGCGTTCTTAGATCACAATTTTTTTTATATAAATATATTTAACATTCACAAAATCTTATTAGTGGTAAGTAGGATTTAAATTATGAATTTACTAGTCCGTGGGGTAAAAAAGTTTGGCGACCGCTGATTGAAAAGAAATTTTCTGAGTTAACAGTATTATAAATTTTTTCATCTGTTTAACTTTTTACGTTCAATGTTTCTTTTGAAAACCAATGTTCCATAATATCGAGTTTAAAAAAATCTGGAATGCGCGCAAATATTTCTTTAAGTTATAGATAGATCCACCTTTGCATTTTGATTAAAAAGGGTAAAGGAAAAGAGTTATTTCTCTGAAAAATTCTTTAGATATAAGAAAAAAAAACTGTACCTTTTAAAGTATATTCCAGAAATGTTATTGAACGCATTTTTTTTCTATTCTTTTTAGTTTAATGTGGTATGATGCATCGTAATAAACTATTTAAATTATATTTTTTATGAAAAAGTTTAACTTTTTAAAAGGTTTCTCATCCCAAGATTATTTACTTTATGTGTTACAATTAGCGGTTATTGTTGTACATTTTTTTTGAAGTTCCTGTTTGCGAGTTTGTGTTTAAAATGAGATTCCAGGTTACAACATATGTATTATTTTATGTATTTTTAAAATATTTTAAAAGCATGTTCAAATTAATACTATGACCAAATATGTTTTTCG